TTCATAAAAAGTGACAAACCAAATATCCTTTGGCCTTGCATTTACTTCAAGCTCTGCCTTATGGTGTTTTTTTTCCCCCTCTTTAGATGAGTCTTCATTTATACTTTCTACTTCTCTGAACTTAAGCATCTTTGAAGCCTACTTTCCTTGTGAGATACATCATCAGCCTTTAAAAATAAAGGGGGAACTGAGTGATTTTTCACAGATACAGTATCTAAGACCAAAGAGTCACAATACTTTTCTTGCTTTTCTACACATCTTGCATGAATACTGATGCCATGAGTTTCCACAATTTGGCAACCATAATGCCAAGGAAATATTAATTTACAACTTAATGGTCAATAAACTAAATTTGGCAGGAAATAAGGTTTTACTTTTATAAAACTCCATTGGGAGAAAAGACATAGCTCAAAGCTATCTTGAAAATAGCATTCTTTTATATTTAGGAGTATAAATGACTGTAGTATGAAGGGGGAGGTGGTGGTAAAATATTCCTACAGGTATTTACTTTACAGTTCCAACACTTGAAGTGTATTCCACCAAGAGTGAAATAAATCATTTCTTTTAATTTAAAGGTAAAATCATCTGTTTTCCTGTATAATTGCACATGTTATGGAGCAGTGGTAAAGAATCCGCCTGCCAATGCAGGAGACTCAAGAGACTCGTGTTCGATCCCTGGGTCAGGAAGATCCCCTGGAGATGAAATGGCAACTCACTGCAGTATCCTTGCCTGGAGAATTCCATGGACAGAGGAACCTGGAGTGCTACACTCCATGGGGTCACAAAGAGAAGGACATGACTGAGTGCATACGAACACGCATGAGATTCTTAGTAGTTTGGACCAAATGAGAAATACAGTTAAACTTTGACTTGGATGTGGGAGATCTTTGTTTGTGATAGAGGAGAAGGCAAAGGGAAGTCAAACTATTTTACACGTAATAAACCAGTTAGAAAATTATAGAAGGATTATAACTTTCTCCAAACACAAGGATTGTAACTATTCTCTGTTTTCGTGCAGTTCAAAGCAAACTCTCACACAGAGGTCAGTTTGCATAAGGAGATGAAATATTTTATGCTGAAAGAAAATCATTTTGAGCATTTCCATATTTGGTTGCTATAGAATGCTTTCTTATTTTCTTTTTCTTTCTTCCTTCCTTCTTTCCTTTCTTCCTTTCTCAACTCTCTCTCTCTCTCTCTCTCCTCTCTTTCTTTCCTTCTACTGTTTTTCTTGGTTGTTCAGCCAAACTTCCAACCAGGCACATCTAGCATCAATGATGAAAAGTGATTTTTTAAAAACTGAAATGTTTCGCTGAGCTGGATATCCTGATTTGTGATAAGGCAGTCCCAGTGAGGATGGTGGTGTTGTTTTTTGCAGATAATTTCTCACTTTCATGTTTCTATTGGCAGCCTAAAGCCCAGCCAGGCTGCAGCCTGCAAATCACCGCAGGGGCTGTAAAGCAACGTGGGCTTTGGCATTCTTTGGGAGATTCCCTGGTGCTGGGAATTCTTCAGGCAATAATATTACAATCTTGACTTTTGAACTATGCATCTGGCAAAGGATTTTCAATTCTTTTCTCAACCGGAGAAACCCAAGATAATGATAGAAACTCTAGAAATACCAGAGTGGATGAGAAAAAGTTGATGATGACATTGTAATTTTAGGAAGCACATGTGTGTTTGAGGTTTAGTCTTCTGAAAGCATGTATAAAAAGATAGCTCCTCTATTATCTTTCTTTAAAGTAAAGAATAAAAACAGTTTGGATTAATCACTATTGATATCACCACTCTTAGAATGCATTCACTAGGAAAAGCAGAAACCCTTTTAACTCGGCATTATGTTAAAGTTCATAATGTTGCCCAAGTAATAAAGACTCTATTTTAACGTATTGTAAATATTTACTGACATTTACAACTGATTTAGTTAATGAATTTAAGATTTATCAATAAAATAAGTAAAAGTAAGTTCCATGATGGTAAGCACTTTTTTTCCCTATGTAACCTTAGCATTTGGAACAAGATCTGACACATGGAAAGATTTCAATAAATATTTTTGTATGTAAACAAATAAATGAATATTGAGGTTGGCTTTGTATAAAAAGAAGAGACTCACAGGCCCTAGATTTTTTTTATTATCTTAGTCTTAACATACTATAATTTAATTTATAATTATATATATATAATTATATTATAATATATTATATTATAATATAATTATATTATAATTTAATAACTATTTAATTTACACTTATTTTGCTCTTATTGTTATATTCTATTCAATAGAAGGCTTTTCCTTTCTGCTTTTCTTTTTTTCACCATTTTTTTCTTCGGCTTTGATGTTCTATGATGACTTTTCCCCAGGCCATGCCAATACTCACAATGTATAGGAATCTTTGACCTGCTTAAGCAAATTTCTGGGGTTTTTTTGTTTTTTTTGTTTTTTGCTTTTAATTTTTTTCTGCTTAATTTCTGATCAAGCAATGACTTTTCTCTGAGACATTTTATATTTTGAAATTTGTCATCATCCTCACTTTAATCTACTTTCTTAATTCTGATCATTTTATTTTCAACTTTAAAAAAATTTTCCTCCATTTCTCACTAACAGAAATAAATATCCCTAATGTTCAGTCTTGATAGTGTGTTTTAGGATAAATGTGAGAGTTTCTTCATAAGTAAAATGACATTCTTCTTTTTGATTCAATGATAATTTATTTTGCACAGCACAAACAGTTCAAGCTCTTTGTCAACTCTTTTTGTTTCAAATGTTGTTTGCAATTGTTCATAGTACTCGTAAATCTCTTCTTATCTAGTATTTCTTTTTATGAAATGGCTTTAGTGAGATAAAATTTATATAAAATAAACTGTATTTCAGCTGTACACTTGAGTTTGAAATACAATCAAGATAATAAACACATCCATCACCCCTAAAAGTTGTCTGATGATCTTGAGTAGCTTCTTCATTGGACCCCTTTCAACAACTTTAATCTTGTCTCCAGGTAAACACGGATTTGCTTTCTGTTATTACAGATGAGTTTGGATTTACTAAACTTTAAAATAAATGGAATAACACAGGCTGCAATGTCAGTAAGAGATCTGAAAGCACCTCATACTCAAGACTCACAAACCAAAATTCATTATTTTTTTCTCCATGTTTGTGAGATTGCTAGTATGTTTTCTATTTCTGTCACTTCTGTTAGATCAAAACTCTTTATTCAAGATTAAAACTGGAGTTGTCCTCAGTATACTTTTCCCTTTTGTCTAGACATCAGTTTCCATGTCTGCCAACTGTGCTTCTGAAATGTCACTTCCTTATCTCTACATTTCTATTCCCATCACTCTACTCCTGGCCCTCATTATTTCCCTGGATTATGGCAATATTTTCACAACTGTTCTCTTTGCCACCAATATTTCTTTTTCTCTACAATTTGTCAGCCACACTGCCACCACGTATGGAGGATTTATTATATCAAGACAATAAAGGGAATTTGTTTCATTCATCTTGGTGTCCTTCCATAGTACTTTTTTCCTTTTTGTCATAGCCTCCTCTGTAATTTATAAGCTTTCATTATTTTCATAATGATTTGATCTGTTTCTCAAGCCTGATGAAGTCATGAGTCATGCTAGCTAGTTATTATCATTTTATGGCTCCTCAACATGTTAAAAGAGAGGTGTTCAGTAAATACTTGGTTGAATGAATGTGTAACATGTAACTTCTTCTGTATTCTAGCTTTAGAATACTTTATAGCTCCATTTCTTACAGTATACATTTCATACTTAATATACATAATGATTTTAGGAAATTGGATTCAGCGAGCTTTTTAGATTAATTCTTTTCACCCTTCCTCTACACATGCTTTTTACTCTATGCAGTTTTCCAAATGTACCTATGAACGAAAACCACAACCACAGAAACCTAACCAGAATGATCACATGGATTGCAGCCTTGTGTAACTCGGTGACGCTAAGAGCCACGCCATACAGGGCCACCCAAGACAGACAGGCCATGGTGGAGAGTTCTGATAAAATGTGGTCCACTGAAAGAGGGAATGGCAAACCATTCCAGTATTTTAGCTTCAAGAACCCCATGAACAGTAGGAAAAGGTGAAAAGATGATGATGACCAGAAGATGAGCCTGTGGGTCAATAGGTGTCATCCTCTCTCCTGAGAAAGACTAGAGATCTCTTCAAGAAAATTAGAGATATCAAGGCAACATTTCATGCAAAGATGGGCTCGATAAAGGGCAGAAATGGTATGGACCTAACAGAAGCAGAAGATACTAAGAAGAGGTGGCAAGAATACACAGAAGAACTATACAAAAAAGATCTTCATGACCCAGATAACCACGATGGTGTGATCATACACCTAGAGCCAGACTTCTTGGACTGCAAAGTCAAGGGGGCCTTAGGAAGTATCATTACAAACAAAGCTAGCAGAGGTGAGGAAATTCCAGTTGAGCTATTTCAAATCCTAAAATATGATGCTGTGAAAGTGCTCCACTCAGTAGGCCAGCAAATTTGGAAAACTCAGCAGTGGCCACAGGACTGGAAAAGGTGAGTTTTCATTCCAAACCCAAAGACAAGCAATGCCAAAAAATGTTCAGACTACTGTACAATTGTGCTCATATCACATACTAGCAAGGTAATGCTCAAAATCCTTCAAGCTAGGCTGGGATATCCAAGATGGCTCACTCATAAGACTGAAGACTGATGCTGGAAGTTTAGATGAGGATATCAGCTGGTTGGTCATCAACTATATATTCTCTCCTTGAAGACTGGGCTTCTTGGAACATGGAGTCTGGTTCAAAATGGTGTGCTCAAGCAGCAAAAGATAAAGCTACATGTCTTAAGGCTGAGCCTTTAAAGTTCACAGCTTCACTTTCCCCATCTTTTATTGGTCCATGTAAGTCTTAAGACGATCCCAGATCTACTTTGGAGAGAACTATACCAGGTAAGGATACCAGGAAAAGTAATTCATTAAGGTCCATTGTTGTAGATTTCCTGGGCTTATTCTCTTTCTCCAAATTGAGACATTTGAAAACAGTATGCTTTCTCTTTATTTACACAGCAGCTAATATAGTGTCTGAAATAATCATTGTTTGATGAATACTTGTAGAATGTGATGCTCATTTTTTTTTTTTTGCCATAATCTGTCACTTCATGGGAAATACATGGGGAAACAGTGGAAACAGTGTCAGACTTTATTTTGGGGGGCTCCAAAATCACTGCAGATGGTGATTTCAGCCATGAAATTAAAAGACACTTACTCCTTGGAAGGAAAGTTATGACCAACCTAGATAGCATATTAAAAAGCAGAGACATTACTTGGCCAACAAAGGTCTATCTAGTCAAGGCTATGGTTTTTCCAGTGGTCATGTATGGATGAGAAAGTTGGACTGTGAAGAAAGTTGAATGCTGAAGAATTGATGCTTTTGAATTGTGGTGTTGGAGAAGACTCTTAAGAGTCCCTTGGACTGCAAGGAGATCCAACCAGTCCATCCTAAAGGAGATCAGTCCTGGGTGTTCATCTGAAGGACTGATGCTGAGGCTGAAACTCCAATACTTTGGCTACCTCATGCGAAGAGTTGACTCACTGGAAAAGACCCTGATGCTGGGAGGGATTGGGGGCAGGAGGAGAAGGGGACGACAGAGGATGAGATGGCTGGATGGCATCACTGACTCGATGCACATGAGTTTGGGTGAACTTCGGGAGTTGGTGATGGACAGGGAGGCCTGGCGTGCTGTGATTCATGAGGTCGCAAAGAGTCTGACATGACTGAGCAACTGAACTGAACTGAACTGTGGCATGTGGGACCTTAGATCCCTGACCAGGGATTGAACCCACCACCCCTGAATTGAGAGTTGGAGTCTTAACCACTGGATTCACTGGACTGCCGGGGAAGTTCCAATGTAGTGGCCTTACCTCTTCCTTCTTCCCCAAATCATCTCCAGTTGTAGACATTCCCAGGATCAATTTTCACTTACTTACGAATCATTACTTCCCAGGCTCTGTGGTAAATGATGTGGTTTGCTGTTGTTGTTTAATTGATGTCATGTCCAACTCTTCTGTGACCCCATGGACTGTAGCCCACCAGGCTCCTCTGTCCACAGGATTTCCCGGGCAAGAATACTGGAGTGGGTTGCCATTTCCCTCTCCAGGGGATCTTCCTGCCCCAGAGATCAAACCCAAGTCTCCTGCATTGACAGGCAAGTTGTTTACCACTGAGCCACCAGGGAAGCCCAAGTGATATGGTTACTGCTATCAATAACCTAAAGGCATCACTGAATATAGAATTATGATAGTAACAGATGCTAAAAAAAGAAAAGCACAGGTTTCTATGGGTGCATATTACAGCAAGACCCTAATTTAGTCTTAGGGCCCATGGAAGGGTCCATGTGAGTGAAACTTGAAGGGCAAGACTCAGACAGAAAAAAATAGTGGGAAGCTGCCAGAAGGCCCTGCTGTGAGAAGGATCTCAGAGAGTTTGGGAAACTAAAATATAGTTGAAGAATGTCGAGCAAAGAAAAGTTAACAAAGGCTAGCTTATGGGCCCACAAATGTTGTCAATAGCTAATCTCACCTTTTCCTTTTTTTTTTCTCATCACCTTCCAAGGACAAAAGTTTATATTTTTACTTTTAAACTTTTTTAAGAGGGGCTTTATTGCAAAGCCGTGCTGGTAAACAGAATGAATGATTCGGAAGCTGACTGCCAACTTTTTAGAAAACTTGGAATGATAAAATGAAGCTTCTGAACTTGTGAGGTTACAAAAGTCTCCTTGGCATTTGAGCATGATTGTCAAGTCAACTTGGATGCCTGGCTTAGGGACAGCATGAATGATTCCTATCTGGATGTAACTGCAGTGAGATGGAAGGAGCATTCACTTTCTGCCTAAAATTACTCTGTTTTGCTCTGCTCTGTTGAAATAGTGCCCGCCCTTCACCCCAGAGTGGAAGCTTATGGGTGCTGGATGGGGTCTAGATAACCCAGGCATTGCAGTACCATGAGATTCACCTCAATGTGAAGGTATGATTAAAGCAGTCACAATAAAGGACATCATTTAAAAGAAAATGCAGAAACATTCAAGCTAAATAGGATCTAATTTGAAGCTTCCCATAGATATTTTGGAAAATTTCATTTTTGGAGTGATATGTTTTGTTGTCTTCAGTTCAGTTCAGTCACTCAATTATATCCGACTCTTAGTGACCCCATGGACTGTAGCATGCCAGGCCTGCCTGACCATCACCAACTCCCAGAGTTTACTCAGACTCATGTCCATTGAGTCAGTGATGCCATCCAACCATCTCATCCTCTGTCTTAAAAGCACTACCAGTGACTTAAGTATCTTTAAAAACAATAATGGTAAAGAAATGAATCAAAGACCTAAACATTTAATAATTTTCATTAACACATCGTCTTAGAAATCATGAAAAAAAATTAAAGGTTAAGAAGGGAGATTTTTGTGTCAAAAAGTCCCTGAAATAGGAGAGTGCCACACTCCTGTCCTCTTTGTCCTTCTTCTCTTCTTTCTCTCTGCTTTCCTTTTTATCTACATGCCTCATTCCAGAAACTATTCATGGGTGATGGCTTACAAAGTCACATTGGGCAAAACACAATGAGGATATTGGAGAAAGGGGAGAAAAGAGAAAAAAATATATATATAAGCAGTGACCATATTAACACCTCCCTCCACCACACTTCTGTACTTAGCATGGTGTTTGTTGGCACTGAATACAATAGCTTTAGGACAAAAAAGAAACAAATGCTGGTTTGTGAGGCCAGGGCTCAGAGAAATTTCTCTGCTGGATGGTGGGTAGAAGTGATGGTGAAAAGTGAGCTCATGGAGAACATGTGCAAGCAATGGTAAAATGCTTAACAACATCACTGCAATACACTCACTTACACATGTAGTTTGTCTGATTTGAGTCTTAGTTCCTGAAATCCAGCAATGGCCTTGATGCCAGGGTGAAGTTCAGTGGGCCTAAGGGACCTGCTCCAGGTCTGCAATCTTCTGATGGTCAAACACAGTCAAAAGATGAAATTTAGTCTTTTTTTTTTTTTTTAAGCATTTCAGGGAATCAATAGCTGGATTTGCCATCTTCCATGGCCTTTACAAAGGCTGAAAAACAGTGAGGGAAAAGGAGGCCATTAGAGATTCAAACGAGAAAGACAATGAAAACTGAAATAATGAATGAGAAAATATGAAAAGAAGCTTCTGGAGTTAGTAGTGGTGTTAGTTGCTCAGTTGTGGCCGATTCTTTGTGACCCCATGGACTGTAGCCCTCCAGCCTCCTCTGTCCATGGGATTCTCCAGGCAAGAACACTGGAGTGGGTTGCCATCCCCTTCTCCAGAGGGTCTTCCCGACCCAGGGATCAAACCCTGGTTTCCTGCATTGCAGGCGGCTTCTTTATCGTCTGAGCTACAGTGCTAGGATGATAAGTGTAAGTCAAAGAAAGAAGAAAGGAAAAGAAAGAATAAACCAGAAGGAAGTCAGTGATCCATATCTTTGACAGAGGGGTGCCCCTACACAGCCAAGTCCCCAGAAGCCAGGAGTGGCAGAGATGGGGGTGGGTTTACAGGGCCATTTACTCTTGACTAAGAGGGTCAGGTGAACAACTGCCTTTTCGGGTCCTTTCACAGAGGCGACCTTACCTTGATCAAAGCGATGGCTCTGTTATCAATGCTCCACCTGCGGAAATGAGTAGAACAGTCTTTTAGTCCTGCCCATGATCAAGAGCTCCAGATCTGAGTAAAGAAACCACAGTGCAGGGTGGCAAGTTCCATGTTAGTGTTATGGCCAAAGTGCTAGAGAAGCCTAGGAAGAATTGATTATTGGACACTCTGTATGTTAGTTCCATAGTTTCAGGAAGTATTAGGTGCTACTGTTTCTTAGAGAATAAATAGATATAGGTTTGTCTTTGAGTTTAACTAATCATAAACTCTTTTAATGCTTCTGTTTTCTTTGCAGTTTGAAAAAAATAACTGACTCTGAGAGGTAGGGTGAAGCTCCTCATATTTTCCTAGACACATTGCAGAGAGTCTGTGGACAAACAGGATCTTCATCTAAAGGTATGATCAGAACTATGCTGATGGAATGTGGGAAGTAAGGGCAATGTAAGAATTTATATTCTTACAAAAAGCCAGTAATACATGCTATGTTGTTGTGTGTTTGCGTTCAGTCTCTCAGTTGTGTCCCACTCTTTGTGACCCCGTGGACTGCAGCCCATCAGGCTCCTCTGCCCATGAGATTCTCCAGGCAAGAATACTGGAGTGGGTTGCCAGCCCTCCTCCAGGGGATCTTCCCGTGCCAGGGGTTGAACCTGGGTCTCCTGTATTGCAGGTGGATTCTTTTACCATTGAGCCACTAGGGAAGTTTGATATGTTATTAAGGAGATGTTAAAAATCTGACAGATTGTCATGAACACCTTGGGAGGCCAGCTACATCTGTGTTACCCACCCACATAGCTGGTGTAGAAGCAATATGAGGACTGGAGCTCACATACCAAGTTCCTGTCTCATTAGAGATTATTTTGGTGCAGGAAGTAGTGCACAAAATGGCCATTTGACAGATACCCAGCAGCACCGGAAACTGCCATTGGCTGAAAGTTTTTGTCCCTCGAAATACACAGGTTCAAATCAAATCCTCAATGTAATAGTATCTGGAGATGGGTAATTAAGAAGGTGATTAGACCAAAACGGTAGAGCCCTCATGGAAGGGATTCATGCCCTTATCAAGAGACCCCAGAGAGCTCCCTAACCTCTTCTGTTAAGTGGGGACACAGAGAGAAGACTGTGTCTGTGAACCAGGAAGTGGGTACTCACTGGCACCAACTCTTAATCTTGGACTTCCCAGCTTCCACAATTGTGAGAAATTATTTTCTGTGGTTCATAACCCACCCAGTTTTACACCATTTTTCTTACAGCAGCCCAGACAAGACAGATATACACTCAAAATTACATTTATGCCTTAGAGTACTTCTAATTTTCAATATAGTATCACAGAATTTGTTATAAGTTGTAACTATGATTTTGAAGAACCCAATTTTCTTCCCAGCAGAGTTCTTGTGAAAACCAAGGAGACTGAAAATATCACAGTTTGCAATATCCCATTGTTTTAGATTGGTTGTTTTTCTAAAGAAAACACCACACTTTTTATTTATTGATAGCTATACTGGGTCTTCATTGCAGTGCCCAGGATTCTCATTGTGGTGGTTTCTCTTGTTGCAGAACATGAGCTCTAGAGGGCAGGCTCAGTAGTTGAGGTATGTGGTCTTAGTTGCCCCACCTGTGTATGTGGAATCTTCCCAGACCCATGTTCCCTTAATTGGCAGGTGGATTCTTAACCACTGGACCACCAGGGAAGCCTCCTGTTTTTTAAATAGGAAAGAAAACCAATGTGAGTAACTACTATGGCAATAAGGTGTTGCATTAATACAACAAGGTATTAAATGTAATACTGTCGATGAATTAGAGACCTTTTTGGTTCCCAATTATTTAGCTCCTTGTGTGTCGGCTTCCCTTTGCTTTCACCAGAGGCAATGTCTCCTTTAAGATCAGACTGTGCTTGGTAAGTACAGCAGAAAGCTGAACCACATATGGATGCATATCAGCTTATATATTCCAAAGAGCTTTCACTACAGAGTTTTCACTACTCTGAGAAACAAACAGGAATTACAGTCATAAAAGTGTGAACCAAAATGTTAGCACATATTTACCTACTATTAAAAAAGAAATCTTAAACATTATTAAGTATATCATTATATAAAATAATAAACATATTAATGTGCTAATAAAATATATTAATACTTCTTAGATGTTAGCTCATTAATTGATATGTAAATAATCACCTACACCCCCTCCTTGAAGTGGTCACCAGATAGTATGCTTTTGGTTTGAGACGTGTCATGATTTAGTATTCAATAATTAAAAGCATCCAAAGATGTGGTAAAATTTTTTATGCAAGTCCCAACCTTGCTACAAATGAGAGATTTTTGTCATATTTTTATTTCAAACAACAGTTTATATCATTTTCTCTGTGAATGAACCCTCTTCACAAAATACAGCAAATCAATGACTTGATATTTTTACAGAAAAAAGAAAAAATTACCTAGAAGAATTTTGAAGTCCCTTGAAATCACTAATAGGCTACTGCAACATCTGGCCAACTTACTGGAATGGCCACCATCTGAGGCAGATCATCAGTCAAAATTTAAAATGAGGCAGGGATAAGGGCTAACCCACTGAGCTGATGACCTTCAACTGGTGTCCAAATGAGGAACAAAATAAACAGGCACCCAGCGTTCCCATACAGAAGTCTTATCCTTCAAAACAGAGTAAAATAATACAGAAAGGGTAATCAATTGTGATAACACACAGTGAAAGAGCAAATTTACCTTATCATAAATCAATGGTAGGCAAATGTTTTTTCTTTCTTTTTTTTTCCATTTATTTTTATTAGTTGGAGGCTAATTACTTTACAACATTGCAGTGGTTTTTGTCATACATTGAAGTGAATTAGCCATGGATTTACATGTATTCCCCATCCCGGTCCCCCCTCCCACCTCCCTCTCCACACTATCCCTCTGGGTCTTCCCAGTGCACCAGGCCCGAGCACTTGTCTCATGCATCCAACCTGGGCTGGTGATCTGTTTCACCTTAGATAATATACATGTTTCGATGCTGTTCTCTTGAAACATCCCACCCTCGCCTTCTCCCACAGAGTCTACAAGTCTGTTCTATACATCTGAGTCTCTTTTTCTGTTTTGCATATAGGGTTATCGTTACCATCTTTCTAAATTCCATATATATGTGTTAGTATACTGTAATGGTCTTTATCTTTCTGGCTTACTTCACTCTGTATAATGGGCTCCAGTTTCATC